CAAGACCTTTCTCTTTGACCGTGCCTTCAGCTCCCCTCTCGACTCTCTACTCCCTCCTCGCTCCCCTTCCCTCCCCTCACCCTGACCATTTCCCCCCCCTCGCTCCTTCCCTTCCCTCCCCTCACCCTGACCATTTCCCCCGCTCGGGTCCTGACCCAACTGTCCAGCGCCTTGGGACGTCCTCCCGATGTGAAAGGCGCTCTATAAATGGAATCTTGTTGTTGTTGTTGTTGTCTGTTGCTTGACATATTTCATCAGAGCTAAAGCATCTCAGAGCACCTGGGCTACTCTTGGGAGCTTTCTAATAGGCAGTTAAAGAGCAGGATTTATAGGATTTGGAGCAGCTTAGGTTTCTGTCTATTTAGGAAATTAAAATTAGATGGCAAAATCTAACATATGCTGTTTGCTAATGCAAGGAAATAATTATAAAGGAGTTCCCCATTCTGAGACAGTCAGTCTGCCTCAGTTTGGTAGCGCTCTTGTCTCGGAGTCAGAAGATTGTGTGTTCAAGCCCCACATCAGAACACGTCTAAGATGACACTCCAATGCAGTACTGGCGTGTTGCATTGTTGGAGATGCCGTCCTTCAGATGAGGCCCTGTCCGCCTGGCCAAGAGGACATTAAAGACCCTATTCGAAAAGAGAAGAGAATTTCTCACAGTGTCGTGACCAATAATCCCCCAAACTAAAAATTGGTCAATCACTCTGTGGCTGTTTAATAATAATCCTTGCATTTAATATAGCAGCTTATCACGTCATTGAGATGTCTCAAAGTGCTTCATAGAATATATTGCAAAGTGAATTGACTGTATATGTTTCTGGGATATTGCTGTGCCAAATTATTTGCTGTGTTTGCCCACAAAACAGTCACTCCACTTTACAATGTAACCTGCGAAATGCTTTGGGATGTTCTCCCGACATGAAAGGTGCTATACTGAAACCAAGGATTTTTGGGGGGATTTTTTTAGAACTTGGTCTTCAAATCGGTAAAGGCACTGTCTAGTGGCGCACAAGGTATGAAGCAACGTTCCTCAACAATTTGTTAAATTTGCTGACTGACCTCTGGACTGATTACTGCCAGTAGAAACAAATGTCTTTGGAAAGTGCTGAAAATCTACTTACTGCGCAATCGTGTTTTCACAAACTGGAGATGAATGTCAGTTATTGCCTTGAGCTCTTCGAAACACCGTAGTAACCACTACAGTCCCTGGAAAGTGGCGGCAACTTTTCAAACAGTTCTGACCCTCCTCAGGGACACAACAGAGCAATGTTGATCGGCTAAAATGTGATAAAGGGAAGAGTTCAAGGAGAACACGATTATAAATAGAGTGAGTGCCTTCCGTGTGAGGTAGCTTCCCCTTTAGTTAGCATAGAAATGTCAGTTTGACTCTTTCAGAAAAATCTGACACTGGATGCCTAAAATGGGAGAGTGTTGCATTTCCCAGCACTAACATCCGACCTGTTGAAAAGTGCATAGTTACCCACATTTTTTTTTAATATTGATAATGTATTATCCAATAAAATAATTAGATTTAAGGAGAATGTTAGTATGTATGTTCCAAATTAACAGAGGAAAAGGTTCAGCCTGGCTCAATTGATAGCATTCTTACCTTTGAGTCCGAAGGTTTTGGATTCAAAAACTCACATAGTCTATAAACCATTGGCAGTGTTGGGTGGGTGGGTGAGTGGGTGGGTGGGTGGTGGGCGGGTGCATTGTTGGTTATCCTTTGGATAACACGATAAATGAGGTCTCATCGGCCTATTCAGGTGGATGTTAAAGATCCCATGACACTACTCAAAAAGAGAAGCGAGTTGTCCTGGCCAACAATCCCTCAAATTTCTTTTTAAAAATACAGTGAAACTTTGATAACTCGTCACACCAAGGGAAATAGCTCAAAAGACTACATATCGGAGTTGATTATTTATCCAAAGTACAGTTTCTCGAATAGCTGGGATATTGAGTGAATGACTCGTTATGTGGGGTTGATGACTTATCCCAGGGGAACTTATCAGAGTTTCACTGTAAATAAAATGTCATTTCTTGGCTGCTTGTGGGACATTGCCATGTGCAACTGGGCATTCGCCTAAAACAACAACTTGTATTTATATAGCGCCCTTCACACGGGATAGCGTCCCAGTGCTATACACAGTTACTCCACTTCACAGTAAATCATGTGCATTGCATTGAGATGTCCTTTCAACTTGAAAGGTTCTATAACAAATGCAAGGATTATTATCATTGTGTTCCCTGACCTGTAGCTGGACTCAGCATCATAATGTTCTTGAGATGTATGTGTTCAAATATGCCGTGATATATAATTGAAAGCAGCGGTGACAAAGATGAACAGCTCACTGTGAAATCTCACTGATAAGTCATTAATCACTTAGGGGGCTGCATTCAGCAACCCACTAAAAACAAAGCAAATTTCACTGCAATTTAAAAATTAAATAAAATCTACTGCTCACTGTTGCAACACTGGGTGTATTTGGAGGTTTACCTTTGTGTTGATTGGTTTCTTGAATTTTTTTAAAAAAAACATCAAAAATGCCTTTCTGGATGATTTTACCTTAAGCTTTGAAAGATTTTACTCAGCAAGCATTACGAGCGCATCTGCTCAAACTACAAAGCAATATCAGTTAGATACATATCTGTGGTGCAATTTGGATCATATCTTACCAGACATACCCAGCGCTTGGCAGCAGTTTACAAGAGATTACATCAAATCTGTAGACAGAAGTCCGTTGGCTAATTTTCTACCGACTGTGATGGGAATTGTCCCTCACGGAAAGTGCTGCCAAGCAGCAGATGCGTATTTACATTGCATTTTAATCATCCTGCTTTGAATTCAGTCATCAATCAAACTCTTGATTTTGAGACATCCAAAGACTGGATACTATCTTCGCAGTAATTACCAAGTGTTCCAGAAGATGACCGTGATGTCACGCTAGACTTCCCAGCATCATTTTCAAATCAACCGCCTTCCATCCAACTCACCGTGGGATTATCTTCGCCCACAACAGCTCGAGCTGAAGATCCTGTTCTTTCTCCCATCTTGGGACCACGGCTCTCATTTTCATCCTTTCGGTCCCAACTCCCTAGTTTTTCAACACTGATCAGGATCGCACCACACCATTGCCACCCTGACTACAGTCATCGGCCTGGAAACACACTCCCCATCTTGCAGCAGCGTCCTGAGCCCTCCATCTCCAAATTTCCAGGAACACTACCATCCAGACTATTCACTTTTTTCTCTTCAGGCCCTGACTATATCCTTCTCTACTTCCAGGGCATCAGTGGTGCTCCAGTTAGCCTGGTTCATCGGCAGATCTTGGAAGGGCAGACCAATCACAGGGGGCAGAGACTCTTCTCACTCAACTCTTATTAACCCTGCAAACCTTAGTCCTAATAGATAGGGTGGTTCTAGCCGGACAAGCACTGGGAAAGCTTGCCAGATAGCTCCCAATGGCAAGCTGTGCAGTTTTAGCTGGTATCTCCAGCAGTACCTCAATGCACACTCCTTGGCTCTGGCCAACTAATGCCTAGTACTCTGTAATGAGCTAGAAACTAAAAAGCCTACCCACACCACTGCATCTCTTCTGCCTCAATTGAATGACTTGCCAAATAGATAAGTATTAAACTCTTGAATTTGCTGAGCTGCAGATCTAAAATTAGGTTTGACCGCACTTTCGGTCAACTTTTGCCTACCCACCCCCAGGCTTGTGTGCTCAGGCAGCAGTGTCGAGCGCTTTGAGACGCCCTCCTGACGTGAAGGGAGTGATATAAATGTAAACTGCATTGATGTGTAATGAACCCAAATGTCAATGTCCACAGATGTCCGTCTCCGCTCCCCCACAACACTATTCTCAACGCCGTTGCTGCAAGTCAGGTTGCAGAATCTGACTTCCAGCCAGTGCCATGTCTCCGCAGGTTAGCTGACCTCACCCACTCTCTGACATTTTTATTTAAAGAAGTAGAGCGTGGCGGTGCTGCCGGCTGGCAAATCGCCTGCCAAAAACATGGTCACTCTGCCAATGGCTTCTCTCGATTGGGAGCACCGTCTTGGAGCTGTGTCAGCAGATTTCAGATTTAACCGCCGTGGACTACGTGGACGTCCTCCCGACATGAAAGGCGCTATATAAACGTAAGTTTGTATTGTATTCAAGAGACGCGTTCAGGGTTTGGACTATCTAAGGCACCACATTTCCAGAGTAAGGCTCCCCAACATCAGGGCGGCCAGAGATTAAAACACGTTTGTAGCCCAAAGTCCACCAAACACCAGCCCTAAATATTACGCTTTGTCTTCTTTGGATAGGAGAGCGGTCGCTTTAAATTGTGGAGTCCTATAGCTCAGTGGTTAGAGCACTCGCTTTGCAAGTGAGAGACCTGAGTTCAATTCCAGGCAGAGGGCGAAACCTTGGGCAAGTTTCCTTACTCCACACAGAGCCTAATAATAATCCCTCCAAAACCCAAAACAATAATAAATTGGTCATTTTTCAATCTACGACTGTTTGTGGGACATTGTTGTGCGCAATTGGCCGCCGCGTTCGCCCACAAATATACAGTCAATTCACTCGACCGTGTGTTCTGTGAAGCGATTCGGGACGTCCTCCCGACGTGAAAGGCGCTATATCAAATGCGAGGATTATTATTATGAGTAGTAGTAGTAGTACCGTGCAAGGTCTTCAAGGGAAAACAAAAACCCGCAAGCGTTTTGCAGGTTTAAATAAAAACAATTTTTAAAAAAAAAAATGAAGCACCCGCCTGAAGCCCCCAGGCACACAGTGCAACCAAACCCGCCCAATCGGGCGTGAAACCCGCCCGTCCGTCTGTCTGGGGCGGGGGACTGGACAAGGCGGGGTCTCTGTAAAGAGCGACGTCGCCGATTGCACAGTCCGCCTTGTCAGTCAGCGGATCCCGTGTTTGTGATTGGCGACAGTGCCGGAGGTGGGCCACCGACCATCCTCTTCCTTATATGGTGTAACCCCGCCCCCCCCGCGGCCCATGGTGCTTTGCGAACACAGACGACTTGGCGTTAAACGGCGCTGAGATTCAAATATTTGAACCAGAGCTGAGCTTACGGGCGCGCGAGAGAGAGAGACAGGAGCGAGGAGGAAGGTCGCCATGGATCCCTACACCCAGGTACCAGCACCACCCTCCCCGCCGCTCCCCTGCTCCTGTGTTGCTCCTCTCTGCTCTGAAACTGCGTCCCCGGGCCGCTCCAGGCCTCTTCTTGCCCGACACGGGGGAAGGGTGGGGGGGGGGGAAGCGGCTTCTCTGTGGCGGAGGGGGTGGCGGTGCAGGTGAAGGAGCCGGGGTCAGGGGGGTGAGGCACCAGGGGAAGGGGGGGCCTCCGTCCCGGGAGGGAGGGAGATGGATGGGTGGGTGGCGATGACTGGGTCCGTCCGGAGGCCGATGATCTTTTAGTAGGATCAGGGGAGGACCCCCCCCCCCCCCCCGGGCGGGTCCTGTTTCTTTGTCCCGGGTGTTGCCCGTTGGATAAGTGTGGGAGTCCGACTTACCCCCTTTCACTCAGGAATACCTTCTTCACATTAGCTATAGATATATGTACATATATATATATGTTTTATATATATATATATATATATACAAAAAAAGAACTCGTATTATTTTCTTCCTCTCCCTCAGCCCCGACCCCGGTCCCGTCCCGAAAACTCACAAATTCTGGCTCGGGAGGGATGAGCTGCGCCGCCCCGCGCAACCCCCCCCCGTGGCCGCCTCCCTCCCCCCCGGGGCCGCCTCCCTCCCCCCCCCCCCCCGGGGCCGCCTCCCTCCCCCCGGGGCCGCCTCCCTCCCCCCCCCCCCCCGGGGCCGCCTCCCCCCCCCCGGGGCCGCCTCCCCCCCCCCGGGGCCGCCTCCCCCTCCAGCCCTGCGCCTCCCCCCCCCCCCCGGGGCCGCCTCTGTCCATGTTGTATTCACCCCCTTCCCCCCAGGCATTGCTGCTACTGGAGGGGTCTTCTCTTTGACCGAGCCTTCAGCTCCCCTCTCGACTCTCTACCCCCTCCTCTCTCCCTCCCCTCCCCCTCCTCTCTCCACCCCCCCTCCCCCTGACCATTCCCCCCCCCCACCCCCTCCGATCGGGTCCCGACCCAACTGTCCAGCGCCTTGGGACGTCCCTCCCGACGTGAGGAAAGGCGCTCTATAAATGCAATCTTGTTGTCGTTGTTGTCACTTCTCGACCGCTGTTCTTAATGGTTTTGTTGGACCGTCTCGAAGGTATTGCACAATACCGTTAGCACGACTGCATAATATCAAGTATAGGATCTGCGTGGAAAGTTTGCATTGCGTTCCGCCATTGATATTGATTCTGATATTTGTTTCAAAAAAAAAAGCAAGGGGGTTTCCTACGGTAAATCAGATGCTACGGTCAGACTAATAGCAGCTTGATGATTTAAATGAACACGCATGTCATGAAATCGCCAGCAGGTATGTCAAAAATGATATGCAGCAGCTCTCGTGACTTTCGCACACCTTTTGAAAGCTGGTCAGTGGAACAGTGGATTTAGTATACCATCTTCCAAGAAAGGAACATCTGTGAATTAGCAAGGAACAGTGGTCTTGTGAGGTTATTCTGCTTAAATTCAGGGCCCTTCATGCTTTGGGCAGGCTGTATTTGGCATACTGCATACAATTTTGGTCGTGAAACACATTTGCTAAGCTATGTGGTATTTTGGAGTGAGATTTGTAACCTGGCCAATTTAATAAACCCACTTGTGGTGCAACCCCAACTATCATGCAACAATGTCAAATCATTAGTTGAGTTCATATGCTCAGATCATAACTTATCAGTCGAGCTCAGTTGATAGCCTCTCATTCAAAAAGTTGTGGGTTCAAGCCCCAGGGTGAGACTTTGAACTTAAATAGTCTTGGTTGACACTCCAATGTTTTGCCTGCGGAGTGCGGCATTGCTGAGGTGCCAGCTTCGGGTGAGATGTTAAACCAAAGTCCAGTCTGCCTGGTCAGGTTGGCTTTAAAGATCCTATGGCACTATTCAAAAAGAGAAGGGAGTTTCCCCTGGTGTCATAGATAACAACCCCCCAGATAAATTTGACTATACACCCATGGCTGTTTGAGGAACATTGTTATGTGCACATTGACTACCATGTTCGCATGCAAAAATATAGCTTTACTACACTTTACAATAAATCCTGAGAAGCGCTTTGTGACTGCCTCCTGTTGTGAAAGATGCTATATCAAATGAAAGGATTATTATTATAAAGCGAGGTGGGGGTTGTAGGTTATTGCATTAGGGAGTCAGATTTGATTGGGTAAGATTAAAGGAAGTGAATGTGAACAACAACAACTTGTATTTATGTAGCACCCTTCACACAGGGTAGTGTTCCAGAGGGCTTGACAGAGACGGAGTCTGACCCCCTGTATGATAGCAGATGATTCTAAATGCATGTTATCACAGTCGGCAAACCTTCTATCACCAAAAGCATTGTCAAGGTCTTTTAAAAATAAAGTTTATTTTGCTGTTTTGTCCCATATCAAATTATAACCTATCCTCCATATGTTTTTCTAGAGTAAACTGTTTCAATAGGGACATTGATTGTTGAACACGATCAAAAATGGTGACGTGGAAGAAGGTAGTATTCGTAGAATTTAATACTAGATGATGTGCAGTGTCAACACCAAAATAATGACAAATTTAAAAAGATAGAAAACTGAAGGCTGTACTCAATCTAGGTTTATAGTATTTCATTGCTAATTATTACAAGTACAGTTGCATGAATTTGTTTGAAAATGTGTGTTAAAAGTTAGTTATTACCCCTGTCTGGTTTATGTAAAGAAAGGTATAGTACACTAGTTATTTTGTTTCAGTCCCACCCATCGCCATTTCCTTAAAACAGCTTAACTTGTACTGTTGACTGGTTTGCAGCTTCCTGGTGGCCCCTTGTGAACAGATGTGAAGAAAAGATACACTATAATGCAAATAGCTGGTAATTTTTCACTAGCGATAAATCCATTTTTGGAAGTCGTCAAGTGATGGGGTTGGATTCCTGCAAAAGCCTTGATTAGCATGGAAGTTAATAATAATTTCCCAACCGATAATTTTGCCCACAAAATATACAGTCAATTCACTTTACAATATATTCTGTGAAGCGTTTTGAGACGTCTTGAAGACATGATAAATACAAGGATTATTATTATTTAATTATTAATAATAATAAGGATTATTATTATTACCACTGGTTAATACTGGATGTGCCAAAGCACTATATACTGGTTGGGGAGAAGAAGGTGCTTGCTTTTCTAAACTAAGGTTCCATGGGGAGAGAGAATAATAATATAAGAATTTATACTTTATATTTAATGTATTGCTAGCCTCATCTAATTACTTTTAGAATAACGGCTCTAAAATCTTTTAATTTAACCACAACAACAGTTTTACATTTAAAAGCAGAGCCTTTCATGTCGTTAGGGCATCTTAAAGATTTCACAGCGCCATAGCTGGGGCAAGCAGAGGAAGGTGGTGAAGGTGGGGTGTGGGGGTTGAGAGGTGACCAAAGTTACAGTTGAAAAGAAAGATCTTTAGGTGGATGTTAAGGTGGCGAGGAAGAGAATGAGGTGGATTTTCAGAAAGTGGGGGCAGAATGAGTGAAAAATCCAATCAATTGTACTGAATGAGTATTGCTAATCACACGGTTGCAATAATGAGATTCACCTTTTTCAAAGCTCGCAATTAAGTTTCTGTTATTCTTTTTCCCCTCTAATTGTTTTTGACCTCGAGCTTAATTAATATAGGACAATACTTCAAAAAACATTTTCTGCTTCAAATCTGAAAGCTCAACTTGTAATGCATGAGTTGCTTTGCATTATACTTGAAGACAAATAGTTTTCCTGTCCAAGGTCCTTAAAAAGGGCTGAGATAGGCTGTGATAAATAAAACTTAAAATCTTGTCCGGTGTTTTCAAATCACTTGTACAGGAGACCAGTTAGTCCAGTAAAATTTGAATTTTGAGTCACGTGTCAAACCTACATTCTTGAGGAATGAACGATCTGTTTCAATAAACATTTGGTCAGAGGGTTTGGTTGGCAGAACTGGCAAATGCTTCAACACATTCCAATGCTGTTTAAAACATAATTGTCCTCTTAAATCAGAAGAAAGTGCGATGTGGCAAAATGAAATGTAGATCATTGGAGTAATGAAGCCAAGTGATTGAAATCCAAATCTTTCGTTAACCACAATGATTCAACTCCTAAAATATTCAGTTGCCTGGATGAATGAAGCGCTGTTGATAGATTTACAGCAGAGTGAGTTCAAAACTCCAAATTCAGTACTGTACGGTACTGGAATTTATATAACTGCTTTTTTGAACCTTCCTAGTCCGCAATAACTGCTTGGCCATGAGATGCTAACTGTTTTACTTTATATGGTGCTTTGATTATAGAATGAATATCTTAGGGCTTCACAAAGGCAATACAACAACAAAATTACATTTGTATAGCGCCTTTCACGTCTGGAGGATGACCCAAGGCACTGGACAGACAACGGGTGGGTCTTGAAGGTGGCGAGGGAGGGGGCGAGACGAAGGGTCTGCGGGATGGAGTTCCACAGGGTGGGTACAGAGTGGCGGAAGGCCCGCCCGCCTATAGTGGGGCGAGAAAGTGGGAGACATGAAGCAGGCCGGAGCCCGCTGAGCGGAGGGAGCGAACAGGGTGGTAGGGGGTTAGGAGGTCAGAGAGGTAAGACCGTGGAGGGCTTTGAAGTGGGGACCAGGATCTTGAACTGAATCTTCTGTGTGATGGGAAGCCAGTGGAGTCGGGCGAGGATGGGGGTGATAGGGTCGCGGAGCAGAGTGCAGGAAAGGACACGGGCTGCAGAGATCTGGATGATCGGCAGCCTGTGGAGGGAGGAGTTGGGGAGGCCCTCCCTCCATAGGCTCAATAGGGATCATTGAGGAGGGAGGAAAGGAAGATCAAGGCAAATGTATTGCTATTCAAGTGGTTATGAATGCAGGAAAAATCAACCGACCCAAGAACAAGTGTTATTTTATATAAAAAAATACAAAGTTATTCATTAGGTCATTTTAGGTAATGTCTGGCAAAGATTTGTCAAGCATTTTGCTTCAATTTACAGTAAATAATAAAATAATTCTCTCTTATATGCTTTTTTTTAAAGTGACCTGATATATTTCTATTCACTTGCTCGTGGTAACTAACAATGCACTTTCCTTGCATAGTTCTTAATCATTAAAACAATTGCATCAGTGACTGCATTACAGTGTAGGTATGTGGATTTATGTTTTCCCCCACCCACAATGATGTGATCATACATGGTAACTAACCCTGCCTGAAGCACTGTTAACAATGTATTGTATCAGTAAGCGTTAACTGGGTCAGTTAAGAGCGCTGTTAGCTATTTTATAAAAGTTACCGTTAACCCATTTTAAATTATTGCCATGTTAAAATGCATGAGTTGTATCTTATAAATTAATTTCCGGTATGTTTCAATTGGTTACTGAGTCATTCTATCTTACCTGCCAATGTAGTTCTTAGCATGCTGTGTTCGGTTCTGACCTTTGTAATAGTCACATCTAGGTATTGTCAAGGTTAACTCAATGTTTAGTATTGTACTTATAGGTATGTAAATATATCCTGTGAAGAGCTGTGATTTGATACCCTCAACTAAAGCCATTTGAAGTTTCTTATCCTCTGAGCACTTCTACCTAAATTGAAGGAAGAGTCTTTTTGGCAAGAGTCCAGCAATCGTTATTTAAAGCTCTGTTTACAGATAAATAGGCAGTCATTTCAGAGGTTGAAGAAACTACTGGACTTACTAAAGTACTAAGAACTTTGGGCAAAGCAAGCATTAAATCCCACATCTCATCCCCTAAACTGTTTCATTTAAAGCATTGCTAAAATAAATTTTTAAAAAAACAAGGTTCCATCTCCCCGTGAGGTGAACTTTAAAGATCCCATGGCAATACAGAAGGGAGTTTTTTCTTAACAGGATTCGAGGGGAATTGAGCAAAAAAAATTCGGTGAAATTAGGGACTTATTGAAATATCAAATAATTAAATGGTTCTTAATGATTGACGTGATTTCCACTTATTATGTAATGTCGTATATTGAATTGTTGCTACTCTAGAAACTACTTGAACGAACGCGAGCTCGACGAGAAAATCTCCAGAAAAAGATGTCTGAAAGACCAACGGCAGCTGGACGACAAATTGCAAAAAGGATCAGGGAACCTTTGTGTGAAGCAAATAACCAACCTTCAGAAGCTGCTGAGGAAGGTAAGAGTTATTCAGTAGAAGAAATATTAAAAATAATAATAATAAATTGGTCACTTTAATCCACGACTGTTTGTTTAATCCACTGCTGTCTGCAACTGGCTGCCGTGTTTCACCCACAGAATATACAGTCAATTAATGTTACAGTATATTCTGTGAGGTGCTTTGAGATGTCTCGAAGATGTGATAAGGTGCTATATATCAAATGCAAGTATTATTATTGTTTATGCCAGAAATATAATTTTATATAGAAAGTGCAAAATTCAGCATCCTATGAGAGTAATATTTCTGTTCCAAGATGTGTATGCATCATTTAATCTTGAAATTTGGGAGCTTGAGTCAAACTGTGTTGTAGTCAAACAGCCAAACTATTGTAGTCCTGAACAAGGATGGCTTTCTAGTTAGTGATTTGTCCGTTGAACTCTTGCGTGACTGAATAGCGTGTTTTGTTCTTGTGTTTTTGCAATTTTTCTTTTGAAAGTGCGAACTCTTGCCGGGGCTATAAATTTGTGTCTTGATGCCCGTCTTAAATGGCCACTGAAAACCTACGATTCTGTTCTTGCACAGATGTAAAAGAAGGTTTCTTGAATGGTAATGAGGCAGGAATCCTGACTTTTTTTTCTCTTTATCCCAGGCACTGTGGCCAATTGATTGTAATGTGTAAGACAACTGCTTACTGCCTTCGCCAGAACTTGAGCATTTAAATGTTTGTTTACCAAATTGCAATTTACATTCCTTGCATTTTATATTAGTGTAGAATCACTTGTGGTATAACTTTTGTCTAAATATCAAGTATTCTCTGCACATCATGCATATGTACTAACAAATACTATTTTGGTTTATTCAGTGAAAGATTCTACCAAGCCTTCTCCATCCAAAAGACGCTGTTCAGACAAAGTTGAAACGGCAGTTTCTGGTGTGGAAAACAAGGAGCCAGAAACTCCTATGGCTACTACTGTTGTAGTACCTCCTGCAAGCCAACCTGCCGAATTAGTCCAGGAGCAGGAAGTGCAAGATGTGAACCCTAAATCGACAGCCGCCTCTGTAAAGAATCGAATGCAGCAATTGGCTGCGCAGCGGCAGAACTGGGACGGTGATGGTAAGAACTAATCGCATACAGCAGAGTGAATTTGTAGATTTCACTGTGACCTTTTATATACTGGAGCTAACGATTCAAATTGAAGGCAAAAGTAATGTTTAGGGGAGGGGCTGGCTCTAGTTGAGCTCACAGGCTCCATGTTGAGTCTCCTACTGTTTATAATCCTTATCAATAATGCCTCTACTGAAAAAAATGTGCATTTGGTGAAGATGATACTGGACTTGGTTCCATTTGTTTCAACATTGCCTGCCAACACCTAGTATAAGTTGTTGGATATGGTACTGCTGGGCCCTGAGGAGCTGTACTCTGGTCTACGTCAGGGTCTTCAGGAGAGGAAGAGACTAAATTGTATTAAAATCATTACAATGCTCATGCATCATGTTATCATGACATTGCTTGTAATTTTTCTTTTTGCAAAGGAGATTTTAGATCATATCACTTTGAAATACCAAAGAAAACCTTCTGTACTGTGATGAGCGCATTGTCCTTTTTTAATGAAACTTACTGTTTTTATGCAGCACTAACAAAAGACTTGGTTGGTATTAATGCTATAGAACTGCATTCTTTTGCACTCTCCCCACAAAATGGTGCGTGTTTAACAGGTAGATATATTTTGATGCATTAGGAAGCACAATGAAGGCCTCCAAAATGGGGAAAAATACAAAGACATTAGACAAAATACAAAAAAAAGTAATATTGAGTAACTCCAGAAATGCACATCTTTTCCCACTAGAGGCCTCTGTACTTTAATTTGCTGCTAGTAGCAAACCCATAGGAAGTGCCTTTTGTCACCATAATGTGACAATTTTGTTGTTTCCTCCAAAGAATAATTTTTTTTAAGTAAAACTTTTTTAGACACACATTTTTCTTTAATCATAGCTCTATCTTCCTGGGGTGGGGGAGGTAAGCAAGTCTCCTCGGAACTGAACTGGAATTGAACCAACCCACTATGGCAGTCATGGTCGTCCATGAGTGGTATTCCAGGCCACTGCTGATGTATTCTCAGCACCGTTGCAAAATGTTCACAAAACGTGCTTGCGGGTATTGTTTTTTTTTTTTGTCCGATGAAGGCCATGGATCCTTGTGCATACTTTCCTCGAACTTTCCTCAATTCCTTTATAAAAAGCATAGCTGTTGAGCTGGCTGATTGGCCTAGTAATACTGGTACAGTAATAGCCTGGCGAGAATGTCAGCTTTTATCCCCTCTTGCCTCCTCCTGTAAAATACCCTATCAATGTACTTTCAGCACTTGTTTCATGTAATGCTTGAGTCATTTTTCCTGGGCTGCTATCAAATGAATATTGTGAGACCCTTCAGACATCTTACTGTCTGGGGCATTTTTCACACTGAGTTTGATCTGGTCCCCAGAGTGACGTATCCAGGTCAAACAGAAGCTGCGCAGCAACTTTTAGAACTTTAGAATTGTAGTCATAGTCCAGTTAAGGTACAGTGGAATTTTTTTTTAATGAAATGTATTTTTCAGTCCCATGTTGTTAACTGATGTTTGAAAATTCAGATGAATTTGCAATGTTGAATGGCACCGTGAAGGTTAAAGAAGAAAGTAATTATAAAGAGACTTTCACTATAAAGCTGGTCTGAAATGACGATCTGAGCAGTTGTGGAAATTACATTAAATTGCAAGAATTTCCTATGAGGTTGAAGAGAATACAATTTAATTGGCTGGGAATGTTTTAGATTAGAAATCTTCATTCTTCCTTTTCATAATACTGTATAACCACTAGTTTGTCGGCACTGTATTTAATCTGGGAAATGCATTATATGGAAATATAAACTGCAGTAAAAGAATTGATCACCTGTTTGCTAACCCCAATTGTAGGCACCGCTTGTTAGGCAAACTACTCTTAAGAAAATGCTTATTTAAACCATCTGCTGTTGGACACATTGTGAAGTGCACTTGAATTGCCAAGGGGATTCAATTGATCATGGCTTGTCTTTACATCACAAATAGGTAACGCATTTGACTTAGATGTAGCATCACCAGTAAAATTGTGCAGGCAAGCATCTCCACCACCACCTCACCAGACACCGACCAGTGTCCAGCCTGGTACTCCAGCTGGAAGGAGAGCACGCTTGAACAATCTTGCAGCAACAATTTCATCCTGGGAGGATGACTTGAGCCGCCCAACTGCGAAGCAAAACAAGCCGCAAGGACAGCCTGGTACTGCTTGTTTACCAGTTTCAGGCAGAGCCCCGGCTACTGTCAACAGCAGCAGTGTTAAACGGCAAGATCCAAGGCCTGTGGAAACAGTCGTCCATAAGCCAGCCCCCGTTGTCTTGCAGGTAGGAGAAAGATTGCAGTTCTGTTTCTGAAAAGTAACTTCTAAAGCAAGAATCTGCGAATCTTTACCTATTTTTCAAAGTGAATATTTTGCAAAAAAGAGTTCTATTAAATCAGTGGAGCAAAATTGAACCCTCAAATAGTTAGATCATTTGTTTGATAACCAAATGAGATCTGCGGTTCTATTGTTTGTTGATTTAAAGCACCCTTTGTTTTATTATGTGTGCCATTTCCACAACCATAAATTGCAGGCAGATACTTGGATTAAAAAAGGATATGTGATACAATGTTTGCAAATGTCCTAGTTCAAAATTACTTTCTATTGCTGATTTCTGACAGTAAGAAAAGGACGAGGCTTGCAGATTTCTACCAGTTATTCTCCTAGGTGCTCCGTGTTTCAAATGTGCTTGTCTTTTCGGAAAGAGAGAGTGGAAGAATCAACAGACAGTTGTGCTTGTGTAGGAATCGAAGCTGCCCTTTCAGCTGGAAGAGGGTGTGTGCGGAATTCCTTGAAAAAGAAGCAAATCAAAATGAAGGAACAGAAACATAGGAAAACATAACTTTCTTTAATTCTGGAAATTTCTTTCTTCAATTAAATAACCAATACCTTGATCTTAGTCTTCTAAAGTAAAAAATTTCTAAGATTTCTTTGGGATGTCCGCTTCGTTTTCCGATGTTTAAACATAGTATTAGATGTAATTCCCTTTGCTAAATGTTCTTTACTTCCCTATTATTAGACCGTTCAATCAACCAAAGTGATTCCACCTAGTCCGAAGAAAACTGAGCAGCCCAAACCACTGGCAACTAAAGGGCCAATTAACTCCGATCAGGTCAGCTCGAATCTAAAGAAAATTGAGGAGCCGAGGACCCTGGCAACTAAGGGCCACTTAACCCAAATCTGGCCACCTTGAATCTGAAGAAAATTGAGGAGCCCAAGCCATTGGAAACTAAAGGGCCACTTAACCCAAATCTGGCCACCTTGAATCTGAAGAAAATTGAGGAGCCCAAGCCATTGGAAACTAAAGGGCCACTTAACCCAAATCTGGCCACCTTGAATCTGAAGAAAATTGAGGAGCCCAAGCCATTGGAAACTAAAGGGCCACTTCAGTCAGCTCAGGCCAACTCAGGTCTGAAGAAAACTGAGTTGCCCAAGCTACTGGCACCTAAAGGGACACTTAAACTGGATCAGGTAAACTCTAGTCCAAAGAAAACTGAACAGCGTAATCTACTGCCTTCTAAAGGAGAGTTTGCCCAGCACCAAACCCAGCCTAGAGATCAGCCAACCAGAGGGACCACTGCTCCGCTTCAGTCCAGAGGCAATCTAACCCCAGGTACAGTTTTGCAAATTTTGCCATAATGTGGGTGAATAGAGTAATGGAGTGAAAGCTGATTATCACATTGCTAAGAATTGTACTCAATGCAGCAATTTTTAAAAATTTATCTCGTGTCCCGTGCAGTGCTGCTGAAACAACAGACTCCACCCAAAGTCCAGGCCATAGAAAGCTCAGGCCAGTTTTGGACAAACCATTGTGCAAAGTCAGAAAGAGGAATTGTTGTTCATGTCTTTAGGCCAGACAATTGTATCGAATAGCTTGACTGATAATTGTTACTGTTTTCTATATTGATCTTGTTTCTACTCTATATTGACTCTTAACTTAATGGCTTCTGATTTTTGAGGGAGACTTCCTCTTTTACTTCCCGACACAACCTGCTGTCAAGAGGGCAGATAAGCTGTTCCAGGCCACATTGCTCTGGTCAGTTTCCTGGAATAGCACGTGGTTACTAACACATTGTCATGTTTGAATTGGCACCACAACACTTTTAATAATATCTACTGGTCTCATGGCTGAATAACTCCTAGTCCTGTAGAAGGCTCAATGCCCTTTTAACCATGAAGGGCTGGTTCTTTTTATTTGGTTACAGGAACAACTAACTGAAAGCTGGTACTAGTAATGTTATCTCTCTTGTTCATATAATATTAATAATCCTTGCATTTCGTATAGCGCCTTATCATGTAATTGAGATGTGGATTGACTGTATTTTTGGAGCCAATTGCACACTACAATGTCCCGCAAAAATCCATGGTGTGAGTGACCAATTTATATGTAGGGGTTTGTTGGCACTGTTCAAAAGAGAAGGGAGTTTCTCCCAGTGTCATGATCAACAATCCCCCAAATCAACTTGGATCAATCACTTGATAGTTGTTTGTGGCATGTTGCTGTGCGTAAATTATCACAGGCATTACACTCTACAGTACATTCCTGTGAAGCGCTTTGAGAATGTCTCCTGACGTGAAAGGCAAGGATCAAGTGCAAGGATTATTATTTTACTATTTGAATTAATGGCATACCCTACCGTAATCGTAATTGTCCTTGCAAATCTCCCAATGTGTTGTAGGTGGAACAGGGGTGAAGTCTTTCCTGGAAAGGTTTAGTGAACGCTGCCAGGAGCGGAGTGCATCAAACCCCAAAGCACCAACTCCTGGGCTGAAATCTCCTGTTACTCCAAACACAAAAGCCATCCAGGAGAGGCTTTTTAAACAGCAGGAGCTCTCCACCACAGCAAGCCTCACGCAGCAGCTTAAACAGGTCTGACTTTGCATTTTACTGGTGAGGGGTCTGATCTACATTTGTAGACCACTCGTGTTTTTATTTTAATCTCTCCAGCGCAAGTGAGTGGAGCAGAACTGTCTTGGTTTCTTCCAGGCTGTTATATAAATACCAGTTGAGTATGAGAGCCTTATGCAACCCATTGGTTTTTGTAGGAAGCTTCTTCACCTGTGCTAGGTGGTTGAAAAAGGAACTCATGAGCTGGGCTAATAGAAAAGTACGGACATTTTTGAGAAAAATTGCAGAGCTTGTTGCTAGCAGTGCTGAGGGTTTTGTTAGATTTTGTGGGGGAAAATGTGATTGTTGATTGGTGCTATTGAGGTACATTTTATTGCTACATTTTTTCACTTTATTGATTAAAAACTAAACATAAGGAAATAACACATTAGATTGTTGCAAAACAAATTATTAATTGCTTCTTGAACAAAAATTGAGTGGCCTTTTTTTGGGTGGAGGTGATGGGGGACACCGCGAAGCTACAGGAGCTCACCACCTCCTGCCTCTCAGTGCTGGCACTGAACACAGACACAGACCCAGAGAGAGAGAGACAGACTCAGAGATCCAGAGAGAGAGAGACACGCACACTAACAACAACAAGATTACATTTGTATAGCGCCTTTCAAATCGGGAGGACGTCCCAAGGCACTGGACAGTGTACAGCATTTCAGACCCGAGTTGGGGTCGGGGGGAGAAGGGAGGGGAAGGGAGGTGGCCACTGGCATGGTTGAAGAGGAGGCTTTTGAGGCGGGACTTGAAGGAGGCTAAGGAGGGGCCAAGACTGAGTGATTGGGGGATGAAATTCCAGAGGTTGGGGGCAGAGTGGCTGAAGGCTCTCCCACCAATGGTGGGACGGGGGACGTGGAGCAGGCTGGAGCCAGCTGAGCGGTGGGAGCGGGCGGGTTGGTAGGGGTTAGGAAGTCACAGAGGTAGGGTTCGCCCACAAATATACAGTCAATTCACTTTACAGTATATTTTGTGAAGCGCTTTGAGACATCTAGAAGACGTGAAAAGCGCTATATCAAATGCAAGTATTATTATTATTATTAGGCTGGGGCGAGGCCATGGAGGGCTTTGTAGGTGAGGACCAGGATCTAGAACTGGATCCTTTGAAGGACAGGGAGCCAATGAAGTCGGGCGAGAATGGGGGAGATGGGGGCACGGAGTTTGGTGCAGGAGAGGACATGGGCTGCAGAGTACCTGATTATCTGCAGCCTGTGGAGGGAGGTTGGGAAGGCCGACAAGCAGGGTGTTTGCGTAGTCGAGCCTGCAAGTGATGAAGGCATGAACAAGAGTTTCAGCGGCCTGAGGGGTGAGGTAGTGGCAGAGTCGGGCGATGTTACGGAGGTGAGGGAAGGCAGAGCGGGTCATGGCTTGGATGTGGGGGAAGAAAAGACACCTTGGCTCCTGATGGCTTGGTGAGTTGAAGTGTGCAACCATGGAGGTTGATGCTGCCAGAGCCTGAGGTGCAGAGGCGCTGGTGTGAGCCAATCAGGAGGGCCTCAGTCTTGTTCACATTCAACTGTAGAAAATTTGCCCTCATCCAAGACTTGATGTGCGACAGACAGTCTGTCAGGACAGCAGTGGTCCTGGAGTTGAGGGTGGAGGCAGAAAGATAGTTGGTTGTCATCCGCATACATTTGGAAGTTGACCCCATGTCTGTGGGTGATGTCACCAAGGGGGAGTATGTAGATATTAAAGAGGAGAGGGCCAAGGACAGAGTCCTGGGGGATGCCAGACATGACAGTGCGGGGGCTGGAGGAGGGACCGTTAGAGGCAACAAAGTGGAGATGGTGAGAGAAATAGGAATCGAACCAGGCGGCAGGTCTGCGAAGATTAAGTAAAGAGGAGAGGCGGTGTATGAGGATGGAGTGGTCGACAGTGTCGAAGGCGGCAGAGAGTTCGAGGAAGACAAGGAGGCAGAGGGAGCCCTGATCACAGACACGCACACAGTCACAGAGAGAGCGCGGTTTGTAGTGGACATAGGTCATTATGGCAGGAAATTCGGGAAAGGTGTGGCCAGACTTTTCTATTGGCCTAGCTCATGAGCCGTGCTACCATGTTGTTTGAAACATGCCACGTCTGAAGATGCAGAAATTGGGTTTGCTAATCTTAATACTTGCAGAAAGTCATATCATGTAGGAGTTGCATCTCTGGAAAAAGTAATAGTTTAGCCCACATAGTAATAATCCTTCGCAGAGAACCCTGAAGGTGAGATAATATGGGTGCAGAACTTCGGATGAGTTGGAGTGTATGTAGGAGGAGCAAAGGAGAACATCAGGCAAATCTAGCCTTATGGGGACAAAAGCATGGAACATTTTTTGGCTGTGGAGAGGGCTGAGCTCAGACTCAGCAACAAATTGCATTTATATACCGTAGGCACAGTCGAAGATCTTCAGGCGAGACCTGAAGATGGGCAAGAATGAGGCAAGGCTGAGGAATTGAGTGACATAGGTCCACTGGTTCAGTTAGCTAGCGTTGTCAGCCAGGAAGGTTGTTGGAAGTTGGAATCAAAGGAAACACACTGGCAAAATCCGAACAAGATTGCTTCAGGGATTTTGTGACATGTAGATGATGAAAGTTGAGGCTATTCCAGGATTTTATGTGGAAATTACTTTATCAGAATAGCGATAGTCCAGGAAATCAGCCTCAAGCCAGTTATGTTGTGTCCTATTTTATAGTCTTGCTTTTGCAATTATTTCAGGAGCGTGAGAAAGAGCTGGCCAATATTCGCAATCGTTTTCAGGGAGGCAACGTCGGTGCTACGGAAAAAAAAGGAGAAAGCTCATTTACCAAGCAGCCCAAGGTATGAAATGCTTTTTGATATGTATATTTCATGTAAACCACTGACTAATTTGTCATTCAGAAATTCTATGGTGATAAGAAAGACTAATGATTTTGCTACTGGTGCTAAAAGAGTCGGGATTTTAGTGAACAGCATTTCCCTTGATGCCCAATCGAGTATAAGTACTACTAGGAGGAATACAGACAAAAGGTCATGGGTTCGAATCCTTATGTCCGCTAAGTAATGTAGTTGACTGGGACGGGGAAAATCACTATTATTGCTGCAGTTGCTTTAATTACTACTTTCCCAGCACCCCCATAAAAAATGTTAGATGTATTTTCTGTTGAATGCAAGTAAACCTGTAGCAGTTTTTGCTTTTATTCAGCAGTGATGTCCTTTCAGAAATTTAGAACCTTCTTTTAAATGCTAAAACTGCTACAGCAATGACACTTCTGGGCCATGACGTGTGCCTGCGACTGCCGGGATGGTGGAAGGGGAACTGAATGGATTTTGGTCTTCTTTCGCCGAGCAATTCTTATGTTCTTAAGACTGATGATTGAATACGTTGAACATTTGGGTCTCAGAAACTATCTGCACTTCATGCCCTCTGTTACAATGGTTAAGATCTACTAAAGTTCCTCCCACGTTGTATGAAGAGAATATCAAGATTGATGGAATGTTCTAGTTTTTCTGTTGATACAGAAAACTCCCTTTTTTTGTCTGATCAAAAAGTTGTGTTATCCTCATGAGTGGAATAAACTGGATATTCCACAATTGCATGTTCATTTCTTGTATCGAGTTTGACATTTATGATCAAATTGATAATATTTGCCCTTTTCCATTTTATTGTAGGAGACTGATGTGTCTCCCCTTGGGACCTCTGAGCAAACCAGTGCAAAATCTCAGGAGTCTCAAATGAATATCACCGCAGCCCTTCAACCACCCTGCAAGGCTCCTTCAGAACCACAGCCAAAATTTATATCTGTACATGAGGGTGAATCTTCCTCTGTGAAAGTAACTAGCACAGAATCTGCAGGTACAAAGACTTTGTTATAGAAATGTGTTAGTCCCTTGGAAACACTTATGATAAGAAAAGTGAAAATATTTGGCATTAATGATTGTATAAGCTCTGTTGCACACTTGTTGCGCAAGGCATATTTTACAAACTTAAGAAAAAGTGAAATGTTTGCAATCACTAAAATATCATCCCCTTTCTTTAAGTTTAGAAAATTGAGTTTTTAAAATATTTTGATTAAAAATGTTATCGGTAATGACAGCTGGCTGTATCATTACGTTTCTGAGGCTGGAGATGCTGTTGGAAATTGCCATTGCAAATTTTGAGTGAAGACTGCAATTCCCAGGCTCAACCATGGTGCCAAGGGGAGTCCTGTGGAGTCCTGTAGATCAGTGGCAAGCGACCTGAGTTTGATTCCCAGCAGGGTGAAACCTTGGGCAAGTTTCCTTACTCCACGCCTGATAATAATCCCTCAAGAAAAGAAACAATAATAAATTGTCACTTCAATTGACGACTGTTTGTGGGACACTCCAGTGCGCAATTGGCTGCCACGTTTCACCCACAAATATACAGTTAATTCACTTTACAGTATATTCTGTGAAGCGCTTTGAAATGTCTAGAAGATGTGAAAAGCGCTGAATCAAAATGCAAGGATTATATTATAAGAGGTAGATTGCTTCCTTTGTAGGAGAGGAATGCTCATAGCCATTTGTGATGGAGGATGAGTTCACAGGACACTCATTTGCTTTATAAATGAATGTCTGGTAAGAGAGCACCTTTTAACTGTGTTCTACTATGTTAGGGACCAAGTCCAAATCCAAGTCTCATATTAAATAATTAAGGGATCCATTTTTTGGTATCGTTTTGTTTTGCAGGTATTGCAATTTTGGTGCCTTTGTATGAGTCTGTGACATTAATTATTTTATTTAAATCCACTAGCTCCTGCCATTGAATGTAAGGAGAAGGTTCCGTCCAGTCCTGCCAAATCAAGTCCTCTCAGAAAGGTTATGTTTGTGTCTGAACAACTGAATGTTATAGAGAGTACCTCAGATGATGAGAAGAGTGATGATGAAAGAAATCCTGGTGAGCAGTCATTCTTTAACTTTGGATATGTGGCAGTTATACTTTAAATATTTACTCACCTCTTCGTCAAGTTAATGTTATGAATAAAAACTGTCACCTTCAACTTAGAGTACAAGACATGTCGATTTGTATAAACTCAGCTGCACCATCTTATATTTGGTAATATGCTGTTAGTGGGAACCAGTCCAGAACTTAATGCTTCATTTCAAAGTTTTAAATCATTGGTGCAAAATATGACATTCAGTCACATTGTCAGAATTTCCACTCCTGGGGATATCGCAGTTAACGACTCATTTGAAGCAAAGTTCAGTGGAGGTTAAGCTTAGGATGTCTGAGCACATGTTCAAATTGTTCTCATTTAAGATTTGAAGTTTTTAGGCGTGCAATGGAAATATTTCCTGAAAATCTGGACTTGTGGAGTGGTTTGCAGAAAAATTATACTAATCTGTCATTCAATACTTTGGAGGCAGAATTGCTTTCATAATGAGCTTGTCTCTTTGAAAACGTCACTACTTGATGACGTAGAGTATACCCGTCCCAACAAGCCAGATTCATGATATTGAACTTGTGGTCTTTTTTGTGATCCAATACCTGGGCTGAACAGCTCTGTAGTAGATCAGGGTATTGTTGATTAACCAGCCTTTTGACTCGTCGATGGGATTTGGTTGGGTAGACATGTTACTGGGTAATTGTATTCTTCCACCTGTGAATGCCTTAATGACTGGGTTAGTCCATTAGTACATTAAACTTGCAAATATTTTGTGCTGGTAATGTGCAAGTTTAGCTGAAACTGCTTTTGATTTCTAAGCAAATTGAACTACAGATTCCTTAAACCTGATGAGTTTCAGCTTATCAGCATATCAAACCAGGGAATGTATTAAACATTTCACACATGATTTTCATTTTGTGTTTCTGGCAGATAAAGTTGGAAAGGTCAGTGAAGTTGAGATGAGTGTTGACGATGAGCTTAACAGTTCGGCTGTTATTAATGAACTGTTTGAGGGCGTTATGGAAGAGGATGAAGATGTGGATGACGATGAGGAGAGAGAGAGTGAACTGAACATATCCTCGATGTCGCTGCTTGCTCCATTAGCTGTTGCGAGTCCAGAGGTGAGACCAAGTTTGGCAGAATCCCCTTGTTTTTTTTGCTCAGCATAATATTTCAAAAGCCTGTATAATTTAACCAAGGTACAGTGTGTTTTCAAAGTAGATCTATCCTGGCAGCAGTTGATGTGCTAAATAATAAATTAACAACTTCTTATTGAACTACAGTAGATGTATTTTGATATAGTTCGTTTTAGTAAGTTGCATCAGTTGAAACAAAGTACAAGGAGTACTAACTTCTTTATGGACTTTAAAAATGGGGATCAAATGCTATTCATAGTTTGTTTTTTTTGCATACAAAAGCTGGTCTCCAAAACTGCTCTAAACAGCCCAGCTAAACAGAACAATAACACTCCAGACAACGCAAAGAGAAGCAAGTTCCAGCGAACACGACTAACCAGAGCAGAGTCTACGGACAGTATGGGGTCTTCAACCGATGACCAGAACCTTTTGTACAGGTATAATTGCAGAATACTCTTGATTGTATTTATGTGAATTGTTAATAGCATAGGTAATTTTAAGAATACTCCTTTTGTAGTTCTATTTATCAGTTTCAGTTGCTGATGTTTTGTCTCTTGTTGCTTTTCTATTGTTTGGGAGCAGAATCATTCCATGATTCTATCATCCAACACAGCCCCTGTTAGCCCTGTAAGCCAAAGCCCTAAAGCTTGGGGTAGTCCTAACTGGGCAATCAGTGGTACTTTCAATGGCAAGATCTGCAATTTTAGTTGGTTAAATTCAAGCAGTTCCCCACTGCACATTCTGGGGTCCACAAACCTTGGCTCTTGCGAACCTGCGCCTAATACTCTCTAGAATTAGGTAAGCAGGAAGTGTCCCTCTGGAAAGAGAGTGTGCATTCCCCACTCCAAATCCAGGAAATTCCATGTGTAGGTGTGATGCATGGAACTCTATTTGGTTTGGATACTCTTAAGCACGGTGATGAGTTTCCACATGTGTCAGTCCGACTGGTTGACCAAAGAGAAAATCATGTGAGGTCAAAAAGTACCTGTTCTTTGTAGAAAATTATTCCAATCTATATTAATGCCTTATTATCGAGCGTTCGGTTTATTTTACATTGTTTGCTTGCGTTTAGGCATTAGCCTGGCTCAGTTGGTAACATAGTCCCAAAATTTGTGAAGTCCTGTAGCTCAGTGGTTAGAGCATTCGCCTCGCAAGCGAGAGACCTGGGTTCGATTCCCGGCAGGACAAAATGCGGGCAAGTTTCCTTACTCCACACGCCTGTTTACCCAGCAGTAAATACCCGGTTGTTAGTCAATTGGCCTGGTTGCCCTTCTGGGAGTTTTTTAAAAAAAAAAAATTGGTCATTTCAATCCACAACTGTTTGTGGGATACTGCTGTGCACAATTGGCTGCCATGTTTCGCCCACAAAATATACAGTCACTTCACTTTACAGTATATTCTGTGAAGTGCTTTGAGACGTCTCGAAGACGTGATAAGACGCCGTATCAAATGCAAGGATTATTATTATTCTCTGAAGCAGAAGGTTGTGGATTTTACTACTGGTCTACTGGTGGCTTTTGCACCTCGCTGCAACATTAGTTGGGCTTGGCATTTTAGCTTTATTTATTTTCTTGGCGGTGCAAAGGAAATAAAAATAAAGGACTGATACCTACAAATAGCAATTCAAAGTTAACTTATGTGGAAAGCACTTCATCTGGATTGAGCTACACTGGCAATGTTCAGTCAGGAGTTCTATTTTAGATTTGTGGGTGCATATGTTTGGTAAAATACTTAACTTTGTTCCTTGTGCACAGCATTGATGCCTACAGGTCCCAAAGAATTAAACCCACCGAGCGTCCCCCAGTGAAACAAATCATTGTCCGCAAAGAGGATGTTACTCAAAGACTTGAGGAAAGGCGGGCAGCAACTCCAAGTTCAGTTAATATAAAACAGAGGATGAAGGTAACTTTAATGCAGATTAATTGCTACCGAATGCTAAAACATGGTATTTCTAAAGAAACACTGTCAGATTCCTGATGCCACTTCCATGTTAAAACGGGTGGTACCGCTTGCTTGGCTTTAACTTGTTGGGGTGCTAGATTTCTTAACTGCTGACAATATAAGCCTCGCGTTGTGACCTTTGAACAGTCCATGACATCGTTAATTGTTTGTTTGTATTTTCTGTCATCCCAAGAATCTGAGCAATGACATAAATATCCAGCAGAGTGTTATTCACCAGGCCAGCCAGGCTTTAAACTGCTGCACAGATGAGGATCATGGGAAAGGATCTCAGCAAGAAGCTGAAGCTGAGAGGCTGCTACTTATTGCCAGTAAGAATAGCCAACTGTGACATTTAATCTCTGAACGTGCAAGCTGTTTTGTTACAAGGAAAAGGGAAAGCGTACAGTGATATATATACTGTGATAATATATTTAAGTTGTGTTCATAGGTGCTGTTCTTTGAAACCTGGATTGAAGCCAATTGTGCCCAATCCATCAGTATTTGTTAGTTTAATCTGCTGAACATTTTTAAAAAAAGCACTAAACTAGCACCAATTAAAGTAAGGTAGTGGGATATCCTTCATTATTATCCACTTTCACCTTGGCAGGAAATGTGAGCAATATTGAAACACTAGTTTTAATAATTCTAATTTTGCTTGTTAACTGTCAATCTCATTTATTATTATTGTCTAGATGCCAATGCATTGCTGGAGTGCATTCTATTATCTGATGAGATGTTAAACCAAGGTCCCACTTGCTTGTTCAGGTGGATATTAAAGATCCCAGGGCACAACAACTTCATGCGAGGTGGCATCCTGGAGTGCTTAAACACAGAGAAATTCCTTTCTCTCAAACCATTTGAAAGGAGAAGGAAATTTCTCCTGGTGTCAACAATCCCCCAAATAAAATTGGTCATTCAGCCTATGGCTGTTTGTGTGACATTGTTGTGTACAACTTGGCTGCTGCATTTGATTACAGAATACACAGTTGCTATAATTTACAGTAAATCTTGTGATGTGCTCTGAGAAATCCTCCCAACGTAAAAGGAGTTATATCAAATGCTGGGATTATTATTCCAATGCAATAATGTACATTTGCTCCACTAACGATGTACATAATTCATAAGATTAAGTACTATTTAAAAATGTAATTTACCTTTATTCTTTGACCATCGTTTGGTACAGGGAACTCTGGTTATAATGCTCTTCACTTATAGCACTGCCTCGCTAAAAGGCAGGTGGGTAATGAACCCAACATTTTATGACATCAAAGCATGAAAATATTGCATGAGAGGGTTAAGTTATGCATTGTGAAAATGCACAACCTAACCTATTGCTGCTGGTAAGTTAGTTTATGAATTGCAATAGTAACCAGACGCTTTCTCTGCATGCACAGTGTTCCTCACTGATGTCACTGCTGATGTCTTGCATCTGCAAGTGCTGACTTGCAGTGCCTGTTTTGTGCCCTCACTTATGACATGGATGTGAATTTTCTGGATCCCAACAATCACCCTATACCTCATTTTGTTTCCTAGCCTGCTTTCTAAACACGAACAGAGTACAATTTTAAGGAATTGATTCCAGTTTCTTAAATATCTTCTACCCTATTTGTAGAACTATAAATTCCATTCATCAATGGAATGTTTTCCCAAGATGAGTTGTAAACATTAAATACATGGTAGAATTCAATCTCATATTTAAGTGCTTTGAGATGTACTCCTGACTTGAAAGGTGCTATATAAATGTAGAGTACTGTACATTTTAAACTCCATTATCATGGAATAAACTTGTTTCATAAGGTAAGTGGAAACAGTTGTAAAACCAGTTGCGATGATTTTTATTAGGGTTTTGGGCTGCTTGAAAATTCAACAGTCTTTGCTGATGTTTTGGAAATACATCTGTTAGACAAGCCAGGGAAACAAAGCATAAAACCATTAAACATTTCAGAGCATTCGATCGTAGAGCTATATAAAATATTTTGTGCACACATGTGCATACAAATAAATGATGACTGTTCTTGCTTTGCATTATAACCAAACGAGGATTGAATTATTCATTCAGACCATGCACAGTTACACATTACTTAGTCAACCTTGCTGTCTGCTTGCCCTTTCGATAAACCAAATTGTGCATATTCCCTTGGGATAAACTAAATTAAATTCAAATCAAAATTTGGGTCTCAGTTGCTAGGCATCCCTTAATTTCCTGAATGAAATGCGGCACGATTCTCCTGCCTTCAAAAGGCAATAGAAAAGTATGCGTCAGTGCAGTTAACATTGTGCATAAATAATTTCTCAGAGGACCTCAAGCTTTTTGTTTGATTTTGGCACATAGGTGAGAGACGAATGGTACTTCTTGCTGAGCTAAACAAACTGAAGACTGAGGGAGCGTCTGCCCAAAAGAAAGCTGAATCTGCTGCTAAAGCAGTTGGTGACTTTGCTCCATCACGAGGCTCAATTTCTCTGTCTGAAATCCGTCTTCCTTTAAAGGCAGACTTCATCTGTTCAACAGCTCACAAAACAGGTAAGCATGTTTTAAAATGGAAACTGATATTTGGAATATGGCTTGGAGCTACATTTGGAACACTAGGAAACTGACTATAAGAGCTGCTCAACGTCTCAAATGCAAAATAAAGCTTTCTTCAGAAAATATGGATATATAATTCCTTGAGGATTTTTCCCTTTTTAATCCCCTCTTACTCTTCTTTGTTTTCTTTCTCCCCTCCACCCCACCCATCCAATTGCAGTGTCTATCATTAACCAGCCATGACCAGGGCTAGTTCAACATTGGCCAGTTATTAAAATCAGTACTTTAGACAAGTGATAAAATGAGCATTTTCAAAGTTGGCTGTTTGTTGGTACAATAAATAATTTCAAACATAAAACTTGGGATTCAGCATCTTTGAGCTGGTTTTGTTCAAAGTGCAATACTTGCAGATAGTAAGACTTTAGATCTGATTATAACATCTGTAATTGCAGAAGAGTAGGTGCAATATTGTGAAACATTGTTCTGGTTTCATGATAATTTTATTACAATAGATCAAACAACATTCAAGGCAACTATGCACAAAAAAGCTAAAACAATTTTTAAATTCATCAGGGGGTGGGTAGTCTGTTGTTTGTCTAGCTATTTATCATTGTTTTGTGCATTAAACACTAATTGGAAAATTAATACATTATAACCATTTTTAAATCCAGGACTTCTGCTTTCAGAGTGCTTCCAAGCTGTTCTGTGTGAAACATGCTATATGAATTCATGTTGTCCTGTACTTAAATTCCTGACTTAATTTATAACTTTGCCTTTTCATCTTTTTCAGATTCAGCAAGTTTTTATTTTTTTGTGCTGATTAGAGCTGGAGCTCTAAATATGGTGGCCACACCATTGGCTTCTACTCAAAATGCAGTTAGTGGCGATGCTATTACTTTCCCTACTAAGTTTACACTGTAAGTAACATAGTAACAGTCTGAATAGCTGAATTTTTTTTAATTGATAGGCTTGAAGCCTGCAATAAATTATATAACTTATTTGAGTGTGTGGGAGTCTCAAAGAGATTTGCAGCTTGTAAATGAGGGATGTGATGTGGCTCACCCTGAGGAAATTCGCTTGGATACCGACCTCGTGGAAATTAGATTTCAAGTAGAGCTCCAGAGGGCCGACCGAGGCATGTTCCAGGATTCACTATGGTTACGAATCATTTTGTCGGACACAATTCAGACTTCATTACTTGCACAGTCCTTAGAACAGTACATAGTTCTGAACAAAAATGATTGGAACTGTCCACTTTTTAATTTTTTTAATTAGCTTTTTTAAACAAAATATCTGAAGTGAGAAATGCAGTTGACCCTGAAGTCATACATAATAGAATGCAATTAAAGGCTTGGGTTCCATTAACTGTTCACTCCAAGAAAGAGTAAAATGGATGCAAACTACTGAGGTCCCAGAGTATATGGTTTGGGTTTCATGCCTTTTTTAAAACATGATCCTTATTCTTACCATTGTTTTAGGAAATAAAAAGGTGAACTGTCACTGCATTGATCATTAGCAACTATTACTGTGTTTCACTAATATTTTAAAAATGTATATTAGAAGCAGAATCATTGAAGTAATTCTGACTTTAAATTTTCCCTATTTCTTCAGTTATATATACTTATGCGATGTACTTACCTACACAGAATGACCAAGTCAATCATCAAATATCAAAATATGTTGACATCATTGCATTTCAAAGCATTTCGATAGCTTTGTGAAAAGTTACTGGAACAATTTGTAAATGTCGTTGATTTTCATCTGCAATTTCACCTTGGGCATTTTGTATTAACATTTTTCAGGGTAATCTTTAACATATCACACAGTTGAGGGGGACAAAATAATTCATAACTTCAGAGGAAATGCCTTTTATATGGCACAGAAGCAAATATCAATTTGATGGTGTCAGAATGGATTGGATTTACTTCTGCACTATGTGGGGGATGTTTCCAGTTTCAATTGTTGTGTTCGCTATTCAAACTGGTTAATATAATTGAGAGTTCTAATAGAGTTTATTGTTCTCATATATTACAGTTTTTATCACTGCCCTTTTCTCATTGTTTGTTAAAATCTTCATGTGAAATTGTCTCTTCACAAATGGCAAAGTATCTAAAATGTGCATTTTCAATTTTAGGCAAGATGTCTCAAATGATTTTGAAATTGAAATTGAAGTTTACAGTCTGGTATGTACACAAATAAATATCAGGATTACTGTACAGTATTTAAAATTCTTTTGAAATGCTAGGAAATATTTTGTTCTACTTATTTTATTGATGTTAAATGTAAGGATTAGCAGTTAGCTTTAAAATCTGGCTTGCCAGGAGTTAGTATATTTTATTAGAGAATGTTGCGAGTTGAATGTATCTGTATTTGTGTAAAATGTTTCTGTTTTAGGCACAGAGACAGGAGATGAGTTCTACTGACAAGAAGAAAAAAACTAATAAATCTAAGGTAAAGCCACGTTTTGGTGGAAATTTGTTCTGAACATAAGAATTTGGAAATTTGTACAGGACTAATCATTCAAGACTCATTTCTTCATTATGCTGATGTAGGTGGATAGGGAGGTGGGAGCATGTAAAATATGAGTGCAGCACAATCATGAGATTTGATTAAATCTGAAGTAAATGCTGTGAGGGGAATCAGTTGAGCAATGCAAATGTTTTTCCTGAACTATGATAATGTAGTGAGGTATAACTTAATTGTACACCTCCCCTAACCACACAATCCCCTCAAAATGGCTAAAGGATTTGACATGAATATCTTGCGTCCTGAAATCTGAGGATTTAAAATGTAAATTTGTGGAGTTCATGCCAAAATTTATAAGTTTCAACACTTTTTTTAAAAAAAAAACCCTGATAGATTCTATCTGTAAAATATTTTTAGTCTTCATTGGAAGATTTGTTTGTAAACTGTTTTTTGAAGAGTGATTATAGCCTCTGATATCACACTTGCTATAGAGTTTGCGTTTTTGAAATCTGCCAACACTTGAAAATGATTTTTATTTCTATAGTTTATGTGCAAAGCCTCTGCACTTCATCTGGGAATATATCATTACTTTCAGGAATTGATTTTCTCTTTGGTATGATTCATTTTTTTTTAGTAAAACCTTTGTGGATGCTTTTCAGCAATCAAACTCTGATATTATCTGTCTTACACTGTGAGTGGGCCAATAGTCAGAGGTGTTTTTATTTCTAGATGTGCACTCCAGTGGGTTTGTTTATTATTGTCCAAAGTGATGGATGAATGTCAATTCACACAGCATGATGGTGATGGGCTCTTTTTCTTACACCAACATTGATAGATTTTTTTTGTAAAGTGGTTCTATATTTTGGTAGGGTTTGCACACCTATTAATTTAACAGTCGTGTTTGTAGCGTGAGATTGTATCAACAGGAGGGCAAAAACATGGCTGCCATTAGTCTGACTTACAATTCATTGCCTCTTCAAATTCTGATAAAAATGTGACTTTACACGGACTTGGATCATCCTTTGTCTCATAGCATTGGGATTGAGTTGTGGTTTTAATATATGTGAAAAAAAATTGGATCTCAGTGGGATGCTAGAATTGGCCAACAGACTAAGGTTGAGAAAAATCATCCGAGTTCCTATGTATCTTTGGTGTCCTTTAACTTCACAACAAAGTTTTGTATGGTTGACCATTACATAATCTAGTTGAACTATAATGCTCTGTATCCAGGCTTTGCACATGAAAAATCACTTGGATTAAGTGTAACAGTGGAGTCCTGTAGCTCAGTGGTTAGAGCACTCGCCTCGCAAGCGAGAGACCTGGGTTTGATTTCCAGCAGGGCGAAACCTTGGCCAAGTTTCCTTACTTCACACGCCTGATAATAATTCCTCAAGAAAAAAAACAATACTCAACTGGATACTGCTGTGTGCAATTGGCTGCCGCGTTTCGCCCACAAATATACAGTCAATTCACTTTACAGTATATTCTGTGAAGGGCTTTGAGACGTATCGAAGACGTGAAAAGCGCTATCAAATATATTTTTAATTTTATGTATATGCATGTGATCTCATTTTGTTTTCCTGTTCACATTTTCTTGAGATAAAGGATGCACTGTATTGGTCAGTGTGACTAAAACTGTATTGTTTCTGATATATAGGGGCAGGAAACCTCTACTAGTCAGGCTTGTGATTGCTCTCTTTTCACCATCACCATTAGGTTTGTTAACTGTTCATTGGTGGCAGATAAATCAAAGTTAATATGTGGAAAATCACAAAACTGGAAGTGTATATTTAGTTCCAATCTGTGACTAGAGATTGGACCTAAAAGCTCAAGAAGGCAACCCTTTGAACTAGCTGTTACATGCAGCTATTGGGAATGCATTAATGTAGAACTACTGACCCACTTCAATAACCAAAACATTCTTTCCACTTTATCTTCAGGCTATAACTCCAAAGAGACTACTTACTTCAATCACAGTAAGTTTAATCTATCAATTTTGCATGGTGTTTCACCACACTTAAATTAAAATGAGCAAGTTACATATTTATTGTTGGTCCATTCCAATTTGAAGATATGTTTGGCTGGAAGAGGGTTCATTTTATGCTGGGCGGCTGAAAATGTGTTGGTGGTCCAAGGTTTGGGTGGTTCTAGTGCATGGCAATCCACAACTGAACTTTCTCAGTAGAGTGGAGTGAGCAGATTTCCTTGTATCTAATCACTTTTTTGGTCAGCTGGGTATGTGGCAGGCAGTAACCCATCCAAGCCAGATTGGATTACACATTTTCACTTAAACATTTATTTTTTTCTGTTCAAATTGTGAGGGGAATACAAGAGTCCTTTGAAATACAAGATATTTAGCACCACTTGTTTATTCTCCATATGTTTTGGAGTAATGGTATCCAAAAGTAGGGGTGGATATTGTTCCCAAAAGGCAAGTTTTAGTTTTACATCTCTTCTGTGTTGGTTCAAAGAAGGAAGGGCTGAAGATTTTCCCACAAGGAGGGAATTCAAGTGAGTCCTAGTCTAAGCTTGGTGTATTTCAATAAACCTCAGCAGCAGCACAAGCCTGAATTAAGACATTGGATTGTTCTTTTTCTGGGAAACCAATAGAAGAGGAGAAAATATGTTAAAGTGATTTAAAAATCTTTTTGCACAGTTCTGTTTAATGGATTGAGAATTAACAAATTCTACTGTAGATATGTTTAGAGATCATTGTAACAAAATAACTAATTTTGTGATTTTTTTTTATCAACAGAAAAGCAATATTCATACTCCAGGTAAGTTGAAAGTTTTTTTGCTATAAATTGAGATACTTTGGGACAATGTAAATTTCTCTTGTGACAAACTAAGTCTATCCAGCCCAAATCACTGAAATGCTTCCTATTATAAGTGCGAGATGAAAGATTTGATATTATTAATAAGAGATTTAAGGACCCCTGCATACTGTATTTACTGTAATCAGCCAACCGAAATTTAAAAATTTAGAATAATTACCGACAGGATTAAACCTCATTTGCAACTTTAAAACTGTTCTATAAAGTAATTTTCTTCTTCAAATGAAGCAATTTCTCAGCCCAATTACAAAAAAACTTGATATTCTGCCTGCTGTTTGTCTGCTATTTGCAACTGCAACCAATATTATCAGTAAATTTATTTGTATCCATGACCAAGTTTTTCCAATAAATCTTTGGTTGAGCAATTTTTAGCCTAATGAGGAGGAAAGAACAGATGTGCGGCGTATAGTATAGTTAGCTTGAATGTAACTTCACAGCAAGAGACACATTAGGAACTTGATCAAATGGTTGATTATATGTTTACATGTCTGCACCTCCAGGTCTCATTGATAATCCCCACTGGCTATTCAACCATAAAAATGCTTTGGATTACTGGCCTAGCTTTGTTAGATGTATCTTTTCCATGCTAATTCAGCCCTATAAAGACAAGTAATTTGGAGGTAATCAACCTCTTCTGCAACAGGATAAATTATGTACTTGCATAGCTCATCTGAAATGTGGACTTTACAAGTACATTGCGATAATCACAAGCCTTACATGTCTTATTTCATTGTCATTGAAATGTCCCAAACATATAATGACTGTATTTGTAGGTGAATGACAGTCAATTTGCACACAATAATGTCCCACAAACAGTCCTGAAGTGAGTGACCAATTTTATCTGGGGGATTGTTGCCCAGGATGCTGGGAGAAAACCCTTCTCTTTACAAATAGTGCCATGGGATCTTAACGTCCACCTGAACAGGCAGACAGATCCTCGATTTAATGTCTCATCCCAAGGACAGCATTACTGGCAATGCAGTATTCCCCACAGAATTGCACTCGAGTGTTGCACTATTACCTCCAAGTTCCAACATGGGGCTTCAACCCACAATTTTCTGACTCGGAGTAGAGAGGACTACCAACTGATCCAGGCTGACACCTGATACAGGTTGTTGATGTTCACCAATACATTCTACAGAAATCTCATCATAAATGATTGAGGCTTGGGAAGGCCAATGTTCATTGCATTTCCTTGTAGAAACCTCCAGCATCTGGAGCTGGTCATTTTACTGACATTAGGGTTTCTTTTGGTCTGGAACTTAAGATGTAACAAATGGGTATATTGTGCTAGTTATTCTATGGTAATTCCATGAAGGAGAAGTCAGTTTGGTCAATGTTTATGGATATTTTGTTTTCCTCAATAGCTCTGTCAAGTCCTGGAGGCCCAAATGCAGTACGCTCAAGTAATTTTGTCATGGTCGGATCCTACAAGATTGTGCTTTCTTCTGTAGGAAATACAAAATTCCAACTGGATAAGGTTAGAAAACTGGAGACTATGAACTGACTAACTTTCTCTTGAGACTTTCATGCTTTAAATACTCCTGATGTATAATGTTCAACCATTTATTTGGGAGCGAATCATATTTTTTTTTTAAAAAAATTGAAATGAAAGTGACTGCAGCTGCTTGCTACCCACAGGGATTCTACAATATGAGTTGCTGTTATTGCTAATTATAGCAACATTCATTGGATGGGACCACCCAGCACATTACTGAGATATGAAGTCTTCACTGTTTAATTTCATCTATCTCTTCAGCAATCATCCTCAAAACACTTGGTAGTTGACAAGGGTTAGTTTGGAGAGCAGAGTAACTTAAACTAGTGGCTATGAGCCATAATTTCTGGAATGTGATACCAAAGATTGGAAAGTTGATCTTGAATTAAACCGTTTTTTGAAACGGTTGCTGTAAGTATGTAACAGAGCTTATAAATAATGTAGATTCATATGAAAAGAGAGATGTACAAAGTACATTAGTTTGAGATGAAATGAATATAGGAAATCTTAAATAAAATCAAGATACCTCAAATGCACAGCAGGTGATCAAGTTTATGTTTCAGATGTAACCCTTCATCAAAACTGAATGTAAATTAACTATTTTAAGCATTTTAATGTAAGAAGTTAAGAACTTCATTGTTCTCAGGATGTTGCTCTAATTCTCTACATTTCCATATTCAACTATTTGCTTTAACATATTCTTTTTGAATGTGCCAGAACTGGAGAAGTGGCTTGCTGATGCCTTGTTTTATTTCACTATTCTAATATTCACAGTAACCATGCAAACAGCATGCAGAAGCTTTTGCTTTAAATGACCCTGGTATCTCTTACCTTCTAGATAAAATTTGAAGGTCTGGACAAGCAGTTACTGGGTGCCTTGCTTGCCTTGTTAACACAGTTCTTGTCCATCTATCTGCTGTGCCACAGCTGTCTCGTTTTCAGTGATTTTGCAGCTTTTACTGCTTTTTTGTGTTGCATTGCATGTTGCTGCTGAATGTGGTTGACAGAAGAAAGTGTTTCAGCATATGCTGTGTTTTAATATCTGAAATTCATTGAAAAAGAATGCAACAAATTAAACCCTCAAAGATCTTATTCGTGTATATATAATGTTAAGTACCTTTCCGACAAAGAACATGCTCAGTTCATACAACTTGTTTAAAAGTTTAACCATATAGTGGCTTAGATGCTATCACTTAACTGTTTCTGGTGGCAAGATTCCGACAGTGTGAAACAAACAGCTCTGGTCAGACAACTAGTTGCTGTTTTTTTTAAAAAAGTAGTGTAAATATTGGAGGGGGCAGATGTTTTTTGAGAGAATACTTGAACACTATTGCTCTTATCCTGAAATATATCATTTTCTGCCTCAGTACTTGTTAGGTTTCCATGGTTAACCACTATTGAGAACTTTTTCTCGTCTATTGCTGCATTAGTACTTTTAATTCCATGTCCATTGGACAGATTCTTGCAGGTGATTCAGCAAAGGCTTTGTGTCTGAATAATACTAGCTTGTGTGGTGACATGGTTTCCTCACCGATATAATGGCAGGAAATGGGGTTGCTTGTGGCTTGCTTTCATATAGGCATTAATTTGATTTGAAAGTTAATTGCTTCATTTGTGTTTTATTTTCTTGCTTAATTCAATCAAAACACTTAATAATAATAATCCTTGCATTTGATATAGCACCTTATGTCTTCGAGACGTCTCAAAGCGCTTCACAGAATATACTGCAAAGTGATTTGACTGTATATTTTGTGGGCAAAACGCAGCACCCAATTGAGCACAGCAGTGTCCCACAAACAGTTGTGGATTGAGTGACCATATTATTTTTTTGAAGGGATTGCATAAAAATAATAAAAAGCGAGTTCCTATTTACTGCTTGGCGAACAGAGGCGGTGTGGAGGAAGAAAACTTGCCCAACGTTTCTCCCCATTTAGTTTTAGTACTGAGTGCCCACTTGGTGTCAAATGGAGTTTCAGAACAGGATCATAAAGGCTTATCTGTTTTTTTTATGAAGAGTTATAAATATCAGCAAAATTTCTATAGCTTGTGGACTTTAGGATCTGGTGAACATATTGCTGTAGTACATTGATACGTGCAGTGCTGATCCATAAAAATAACCCTTCAAACTCCAAAATCTATCTTTCAGTAAAGCTGATGGCACAGCTGTGCTGTCTCACATGATCAGACGATTCTGCTACAGCTGGATTTCTAAATGAGTTGTTTATTTTCTGTAACCAGCTCCATCCTCCCACTTGTGAGCATCCATGTGTGCTGCTTAGCATCCATTAGAATGAATAGAGGTTTTGTGCTGGTTGTTACGAAGTCTTCTCTGTCTGAATACGTAGTACATTTTGACCCTGTAAGCATTTTGTAGCAATTAGTAACAAGTTATTCAAGACATGAAATATTCCCCAAAAGGTAGGGTTGTAAATATTCAGATTTCACTGAATATTTACAGTTACTATTATTAACTTGTAGTTTAAAGCCATGTTCTACAAAACAAAAATAACTGAGTTGGACTTGAATGGCGTTTTAAAATGCTTATTGTTGAACTGATGCCAATTTAATGTTTTTGGGTGATTTCAGGTTCCATTCTTGTGTCCTATTCAAGGTCACATTTACGTGAAGCTACAGTGTCAGGTTGGTTCCTCTGTGGAAGAACATGGATTCCTGGTAAGCTGTCTTACTGGCTTCTTGTTGTAGCCAAGGTTTCATTTTTTATTAAAAAGGAAACTGCCTATTTCCCTTGTTAAAATGGATGATTTGAAAAGATTTGTAATTGTCCAGTACTTACGATGGATTTCATAATGTACTTATCTGTCTATCGACCATATGAATCTTAACTTTTCAGGATTTCACTTTGTTTCTTTCCATTTGTCTAATGTTCCAAGACCATGATTTGTTTAATAGCACCATCTAGTGGACTAGTATATGCCATGGTTATAATACTGGGCCTCTGGGCATTGGATATAGAGAGTAACTCAATGTGGAGTGAAGATGACCCTACAAAACAAAAGGGTAGTATCTCTGACAATACAGTATTGCGATAATATTGCAGCCTGCTGTCAGCCTGGATCATGAGCTCCAAGACCCAACACGGTACATGGTCCTTGGACCTTCTGACCCAGAGGCAAGAATGCTACTGACTGTTCATCATCACTGACTTCATCAGCTGAACTGATGAAGATTTGCATATGTTAGTGGGACATTTTTATTTTAAAATGCAGAAGACTGATGTCTGTTTTTTAAAAAAAGGCTAAATGTCCACTGCTGTTCTTATGAATAAGCAAAACTCGTTCTTTCATGGTGTGCCATATCTTGGTGCTTTACATGTCTGCCGTGTATTTGTGTGTTTTAAAGGGTGAAATGACTGAGCCTCATTTCTGCTAGACTGAAGGTGCTTTCTCTTCTTGCAGACTATGTTCCATGATGTCAGTGGTTTTGGAGCTTGGCATAGACGTTGGTGTGTCCTATCAGGAGCCTGCATCTCATACTGGACCTATCCAGATGATGAAAAATGCAAGGTTTGTAGTGAAGCTATTGACTATAAGGACAGAAAGTAGAGGTTTAACTGAAGAGCTGTTAATGAAATTCAGATGTACAGGGTGGCTATTTTTGATAGTTGTACTCCAACTGTAATCAGAGGAAAACTTGAATCAAGAAAATCCTCATACCTCAGAAATTCCACCCTTTAGGGACTTTTGTCAGGAGATGTATTTCCAAATGTCTGCACAGAAACATTCCTTGCAAAAAATGGTTTGAGATCACAATATCACAATGATAGATGCCGAGAATCTTTAACAGGCACATGCTTGTATTCTTTAACATATGTTTGATTTAACCAATGGAGAAGGTTTCAGTTTGCATTCAGAGATCTGATACAGAGAGTTTAATAAAAAGACAGAGAATGACTGGCACTGTGAGGTGGGAGGACGAGTAGAGCTATGGCACTGTATCCTAATTCTGTGTACCTAGGTTCCCAACTAAAACAATGATAGTGTAGATTAGAACAACTACTGGAAGAATAAATATTACATGCCTAAATGGAAAGTTGCTTCACTAAGTGCTTACTGATAGCACTTGGATCTGTTCTGTGTTCCTGGGAGAACTTCTTTAAACAGCCTTGCTCAAATAAATATAGCCACAGAAGAAGGCTTGTTGGCAATCCATTCAGTACCATTTACTTATCTTTTCCATGACCTCTTGCAAATGTCTCCTTTATAGAATACCTATCCAATTCACTGTACGTTCTTTGCAACTTCCTGCTCCCACTCTCACAACTTGCTATGCCTCCTAGCTTAGTATCATCTTAAACCTGAATATTCTGTCCTCTACCCTTCATCCAGACCATTAGACTTGTCCAAGTGCTGATACACATTCGCTGATGATGGTAATTTTCCATTATTGATGCAGCTGAGATCAGGAAATTAATCTGAATCGAAATATATAGTTAAATAGCAAGACTAAAATATTAAAGGAATGAATACAGGGAATTACATTTACAAATTAAACTGAGAGTAGGAAATTAAGATGTTAGATTATGTGCAATTAACCACTGTGCATTTTAGTGGGAGGCACGGCAGTACAGATAAATTTGCCCAGTGAGAACTAATAGCAATTCCAGCAACCCATTACTAATCGAGGCCTGAATCTATTACTAAACTGCTTGAAGGTCAAAGTTGGCTGTTAGAGGGGTAAAAAGCCCCTTCGTCTGCCTGTAAAATTTTCTGCTAAGTGTGTCATTACCCTTTACCTCTAGTCACTTGTATGGAGACATTAACAAGGAGTTGAGCACCATACACTGTTAGAGAATGCAATGCAGAAATTACCTGTTAGCTGGTAGTATAATTTCTGAAACCATGGGTCACATTTGTACGGCATTGTCCTTTAACTATTTAACTGAGCAAGTGCTTTGACCTGGACTGAAAGCCAATCTACTGCTGCCTAGCCCAGCAAAACCATAATGCTGGCATCTCTACAGAAATGGATCCGATACATTGAGATTCGATTGCAGGAGAGTTCAAGATAGCTGCGCTTATTTAACTTCAATTGAACTGCTCTGAGATAGACCAGCTCTTTCCAATGCTTCAAGTCATGGAAGCAAACAATAGCTGAGGGGTAGGGAGGTGCTATGGAGGGAATAGAAGCTGGTATTCCTTGCTACAGGTAAAATCAATACAAAAAGAATATTAATAATAATCCTTGCATTTGATATAGTGCCTTATTGCATCTTCGAGATGTTTCAAAGTGCTTCACAGAATATACTATAAAGTAAATTGACTATATTATTCTGCAGCTGAGTGAATAATTTGCCTATGTCGAAGAGAAAGGTCTTCAGCAGGGACTTGAAAATAGGAAGAGAGGGAGAGAGGTGAAGGGAATGAGGAAGGGAATTCCAGAGCCTCGGGGCATAGTGGCTGAAGGCACTAAACTTCAGCTAAATAGTGGCTCACAGCACATAGCAGCTAAAATCATATGGATTAGTTGCGACACCAAATTACAATACAATTTACATTTTACATAGCGACTCTCACATCAAAGGGGCATCCCAAGGCACATAGGGTTAAATATCCTCCACACAGGCAGCCCCGATGGTGCAGAACCGCAGCTTGCGCAACAAGAACTTTGAATCATGGCTGTTGCAGACTTTGTTGGTTTCAGGTGGAGATGCATTAAGGGTTAAATTGGCCCTGTCTTCCCAGAGTAAGGTAGCGGAAAAACAGCTAGAATTTCTGGTCCTTCTTTAGAACCCTCTACTGGTCGCGTGTGTGTGTCTGTCAGTATCAATTGGATGGTTAGAGATCCTGTTTGGCTGTGACTCCCTCTGCAATCAAGTAGCCTGACACTCGCTGCCAAGGCTCATACATGAGCAATGGCCACTTAGGTGGGTTGACTTATGGCAGCCAGTGCCCATGGAACTACACCCAACAAGAGACCAGACCAAAAGCAGAGAGGCATAATTCGGTGGAGAGAAAATTACTAAAAAATTGTTCCACTGAATTTATAGAAAAAGGACAAAAAAATCCACCTTATTTAATAAAATTCAACCTGAGTGAAGTGTGTGCCTAGTGAAATGCTACCACTTGCATGTGTGAAATTATATCACTTGAGGCTTGCTCTCAACTTGACCTGCATGTGTATAAATCAAGTCAGTCTCAAGTTTCCTGTTTAATAAATTCAGGATAAAGTTTTTACCCACTCTTCATTATATATGGAAAATAACCTTTAAATTTACATGGTTTCACTGACCCTGCTCAAATATTTCATCTAGACATGTTTAATCAACTTTGGCATTTTACTGTACTTGCAGCGCCCACTTGGCAGAATAAACCTGGCTAATTGTACCAGCAGAAAAATAGACCCGGCTAACCGGGAATTCTGTGCTCGACCGAACACCTTTGAACTGATCACAGTAAGACCTCAACGAGAGGATGATCGAGAGACGCTCGTCAGCGAGTGCAAGAACACACTTTGTGTCACCAAGTAAGAGAAATTATTTTCATGTGTCTCGTGATCAGATTAGATTTGGTTCTGATCACAGACTTCAAATTGAATGCGATTGATGGAATTGCATTTAAAAATACATTGGGCTCTGATATGCAGCAATTTCTAACTGGATCCCTTCGTATGGAAATTGGAAATATGTTGCATCAACTGGGAGAACTGTCAATCCAACATAATATACATTGCATTGGGTGCATGATATATTTTGATTACCAGAAGTTCTTATTAAGGAATTGTTAGAAATCACTGCATGTTAAGGTTTATAAGTGCTTTGAAATTTTAGTCTATACTCTAGCATTATAATTTAAATAGCAATGTGAAATGTAATGCATTTGCCTTGTGATCTATCCCAGTTCTATAATATATAGAATATATATTCTATATAATATTATTTTTTATAATATATATATTTATAATATAAATAATAATAATATATATAATTTATAATAATATATATAATTTATAATATATAATAATATAATTTTTATAATAATAATCCTTGCATTCTATACAGCGCCTTATCATGTCTTCAAGATGTCCCAAAGCACTTAACGGAATATACTGTAAATATATATTTTGTGGATGAAATGTATAAAAATACCTTAAGAGATGTGTGGAAGAGTCTGATTGAAGGATAGCAAAGAAATATGAAGCTGAAGTTTTTAAGATCTGACAACTAAACATTGTTGCGCAGTTTAATTATTCTGCTACTCCGTTAACATCATTGTTCCTTTTTTTTTCCAACCACTCCAGAAACTGGTTGTCTGCAGACACTAAAGAGGAACGCAACCTCTGGATGCAGAAGCTGAATCGGGTCCTAGTTGATCTTCGTACCTGGCAACCAGATGCCTGCTATAGACCCCAGGTCATTTAAGGAGATTGAGTGGCAATATTAGCTTTGTTTAATTGTGTGGGTTCTCCTCATATGGATCTAAATAAAATATTATGAGCATTGAACAAGTGCAAATGCTTGCTGCGCCTTATAAATTTCAGGCAGTGTGCTTGAAAAGCCCGATGTTCAACTGTGGCTGAAAAATTATTTTATATGCAGAAAGCCTATTTATGATGAAGCAGAAAATCCTTTTTGGAAGCCTTTGTTCACACTAATGTATATTGATTATTTGCAGAAAAAGGGTATTGCACTAGGCATTTTGAGTTACAAGAATTCTTTCACAAGTTAGAAGATGCCACAGATCAGTCAGGGTTGTCTGTTTATTCTTGAAATTAAGTAATAAATCTGCAGGTAGAAAGGGTTCAAATTATAAACCATTCCCATGTACTGTAGTTTATCATTGTTGTGCTTCAGAGGAAGGAAGGATATTTGGATCCACGGTCACAATAATCTGAGTCCTGTAGCTGCAGGGGTTAGAGCCCTTGCTTTGCAAGCGAGAGACCTAAGTTCAATTCCAGGCAGGGTGAAACCTTGGGCAAGTTTCCTTACTCCACACAGAGCCTAATAATAATCCCTCCAAAACCAAAAACAATAATAAATTGGTCATTTTCAATCCACGACTGTTTGTGGGACATTGCTGTGCGCCATTGGCTGCCGCGTTCGCCCACAAATATACAGTCAATTCACTTTACAGTGTGTTCTGTGAAGCGCTTTGGGATGTCCTCCCAACGTGAAAAGAGCTATATCAAATGCAAGGATTATTATTATTATTACCTATCAGTGGTGGCCAACCTTTTTGGTCGGCCAACATTTTCTTGATTGAATAATTCTTGATTTTTTGCCATCAATCAAGATAAAACCGAAAATGTACTACCAATTGAACACAGACTTAGCTAAACTCATACAGATGTTTGGATGGGGGTGCAAGTGCTTCTCGACAGCCCTGAGGCTCACAGGTTGGCCACCACCGCACTATATCAATAAACAGGCTTGCTTGCAAGAATGGGTTGGCCTATGTCCTTTTTTGTCAAATAACTGCTGGTTCAGTTAAAATCCGGCAACATGCTTGCAAAGGGTAACTGAAGAATTGCAGAGTGGGATTCTGGACCGAGTCTTTTGAGAGTTCAAGCACAGAGACTAATCTACCAGGCCATCAATTCAAGAATTCCAAAAATGTTGGGCTAGGTGTTACAATGAATGATCTTTAATCTGGTGTCATAACACTTGTTTCTGCAAACCATATTTTGAAACGGAGGGGCTTTTGAAGTACCATAGTGTACAATGCAATAATTTCAAATGAAATGTATCTTACTGTGCTGCTATCTATTACCTGCTTCATGCTTGCAGGCTATGACATTTAACTTGAGCAAAGAGTCTTTTCACAAGATTTTTAATAGTCAACAATTAAAGTCTGTGGGGCCTTTTACGAAATGACTTTCTAAATCCTGCCAATTGTGCTTTTTTGTGAGCTATTTAATATACTAAAAAAAAGTTTAGATCACCTTTTTTAATAATATATTGTCCTCCCCATGCATGAAACTCCTTGTGATGTCCAACTGTAGGAATTTAAAGTTGATCATTTTTGATTATATTAATGTCAGGCACACTGAATTTGAATTCATTGAGATGTCATCATAGGATGATTGGAGGAATGAAAAGGATTTGTGCCACACAATTATTGCCCCAACTACAAGTTGCATTGAGTAAGTGTATGTGCCAAATATGTACCAAAATTATACACTAACCTTGTAAAGTTTTAAGGAATGCAAAATTATTGTACTGCTTCAATTTCTGTTCTTTTCTATTCCTGTCCTGTTTGCCTTCAAAATATGTTATTGGGTATATTAAGTTTTGTATCGCAAGTCTTTTATGCACGTTTAGAAATAAACTGCCTTTAATACTCGACAATATTGTTTCTTGAGAGATCATTACTTAATTTTTAAATGGTTATTACTCTTTGAAAAACTCTCACATTCAAACCCATCCGTAGCCTTGCCCCTCACTACCTCTGAGATGTGCATCGCTCCTGCCCCAACTACTCCTGCTGAGCAAACGCAAGCCTGATTCATGTCCCCAATCTGTTCTGCTCCCCCTTTTTTAGGTGAGCCATCAGACTTTCTTTCCTCCTTTGCTCCTCTTCAGCTGGAGTTCCCAGGGAGTTGTGTGAAGCCCTTTGAGACGCAGTTCTGAAGTGAAAAGTGGATGCTATATAAATGTAAATTATTATTGAGTCATGGCTGAGATATTGGTGACTGCCCGCTTCAGGCATGCAGACAGATATGAAAAGAATGTTAGTCTCATCTGGATCGAGGAAAGCATTCACTTGCAAGAGCTGAGCTGTCTGTGCCTGATGTTTGTGCAATACCTCTGACCTTGCCGAGTTAACTCGAGATTCATTTTAAAAGCAATCCAGTATTACATTTCAATTATAGTGCTATCACTAGACATTTTTGGCAATTATTGTTCTATAGGATGTTAGAAGAATATACCATTATGTAGGTAATGGTTCGCTATTGACTGCAACAAAAATATGTGATCAAGCTTGACTCATAGGAGAGAGAATTTGAAAGCCCCGCTGATTGATGTATAATTATTTGATGCAATGGGAAATTTACTTTTGAAATTTCTAGTCAGCAGCTGAAATGTAAGGAGGAGCCTATTCAAAAGATGAATACTCCTTTGAGTAAGAAACTGATTGAGTAGAAAGAGGAAGCATAATAATCCTTGCATTTGATGATAGCACATTTCACATCGTTGAGACGTCTCAAAGCACTTCACAGAGTAAAGTGAATTGAATTAATTTTGTGGGCAGCCAATTGCGCACAGCAGTGTCCCACAAACAGCATTATTATTATTTTGGGAAGGGATTATTACCCCCAGAAAGTGCTGTGCCAATCGACTCACAACCAGATTCCTACTTACTGCTAGGTAAATGAGGCGTGTGGAGTAAGGAAACTTGCCGAAGGTTTTGCTCTGCCTGGGAATTGAACCTGGGTCCTCTTGTTTGTGAGTCGAGTGCTCCAACCAACAGAATATCCTTGCAATTTGAGATTGTCAAGATAAATCCTTTGTTCACTTTGAGGCTTAGATTGGAAGACTGAGCTGACAAAAGGTGAGTCTTTCAATATACACCTTATGACAACTTTGTACAGTTGAAGTTTTTTTTAAAATAAAGTTTTAGTGAAAATATCAACAATTGCAGATGTTTTCAGATTGGAGTAAAGCCTGAAACAATCTTGAAGGAATTTATTGGCTTTTTATCCTTCACAAGTGACTGGTGCAATCTGTACAGTCCACAGATCCCTAAATGGATGTTTCACAAGACAGATGGAATGCCATTCCTGAGTCCCATCACGTTGCCTGCAAGACTTGGGCTTCCTCTCAGATGTGTGTCCTTCCGATATGCAGAGTGCTATAGAAATGTAAATGACTATTGTTGATCAACCACCTCTTTTACTAGAAATTCTACATCTTAAAATGAACTACTAGATTTACCAACTCCCTTTTCCTTGCAATTATATTTGAAATACTCTACAATTTTAAAATATACCTGCTTTTCTAAACCGTTACACTCGGTTTAACTCCACCGCATTTTCCTTTGTTTTTACAAAAGTGTTCAGCCCATGGAAAAAAACTGATGTACTGTTCGAAATCTGGATTGTGCAGGTCTGTACTTGTCCTGCGGGTGGCGGGTTGCTCATCTGCTATAAAATTCAATGCAAACAGTTCTTGATTGATGGACAAGTCCACAAAAAAAGTCAGCAAAGAGCGAGCGAAAGGTGCATTAGAGTGGGGCTGACGTATTCCTTAACAAACAGTGGGCTTAAAATAATAAAAATAATAATTAAGGTAAATAATAATAAAATAATTAATAATTAAAATTAAGGGTCAGCCTTTTAGAACAGAGTTAAGGAAACATTTCTTCATTCAGAGGGTAGTAAAGTTATGGAATTCACTACCCCAGAAGGCTGTAGATGCTCAGTCCTTGAACAACTTCAAGGCTGAGACTGATAGATTTTTTTAAAAAAACAGGGATTAGGGGATATGGGGATAAGGCAGGTAATTAGAGTTAGGTCTGAAGATCAGCCATGATCTCATCGAATGGCGGGACTGGCTCGAGGGGCCAAATGGCCTACTCCTGCTCCTAATTCTTATGTTCTTAATAACAGTCCCTGCATTTGATGGAATGCCTTAACACACCATTAAGACATTTCAAAGAGCTTCACAGAATATACAGAAAAGTGAATTGGCTGTGTATTTTGTGGGCGAAACGCGGCAGCCAATTGCACACAGTAGTGTCCCTCCACACACAGACATTTGATGGGACTTAACTCATCGCCTTCAAGGCCCTCCACGGCCTTGATCCTTCCTACCTCTGACTTGCTAACCCCATATCAACCTGTCCACGCTCTCCACTCAGCAGCCTCCAGCCTGCTCCATGTCCCCTGCCTAACCCGCCCCACCATTGGCGGGCGGGCCTTCAGTCTCGCTGCCCCCAACCTTTGGAATTCCATCCCACATTCCCTTCACCTTGCTCCCTCCCTTGTCTCCTTCAAGGCACATCTCAAGACCCTCTTCTTCGCCTGTGCCTTCGGCCACCTTCCTACCCTCTCTGCCCTCCACCCTCCCTGATCCCAACTCCCCCAGCTCAGGTCCAAATCGCTTACTATCCAGCACCTTGGGACATCCTCCCGACGTGAAAGGCGCTATACAAATGTCATTTTGTATTGTATTTTGTATTCAGAGATAGAGAAACGCACATGTTGATAGATGAAATACTCCAATTGAAGAAATTGAATGTATAACCTCGCTGAGTACTTGGGTGAATGCAACCATGTGAGTGTAACATCTCACACGTGGAAAGCAGTGCCTGCTTTAGAGAGAGCTGTAATTATCTGTATTAAAATCAACTGTTTGAAACCAGTGATTACTGCCACATTTCATGGGCTGTCTGCGTAGATTGAGGGTGGCTCTTTCAGACATGTATAATGATCATCCCTTCAGCCAATTACCTCATCAACCCGATCATAACACCGAAGGCTTTATTTCGAGGAGGGTGATCCAAGTAGCGTACTTTAGAAGATGTAACACAGCCCTGTATGTCTCTGAATAATTCCCCCAGCTCAGAGATGTTGAGCACACTTCAGTAAGTGAATATCAAACAAGTCGTAGTAATTGTATTGCATCAGTTTAGGTTTAGGTAACTTTAGCTAATAGTAATTAAGGGTCAATTATTTTCATGTAGGTTTTAACATAAATACAGTAGTGTACTGTATGTAGCATACGATTCGAAACAATAGATTACAAAGTGGCTAGAGTCTTGCCTAATAGATTGTTGATTGAACAATAAAACAAAATTACGGCTGTAAATTAGATCCATCAGTCATTCAGACCAATCTTAATTTGTGCTGTGTGCACACAGTGTATTATTGCTTTCGCAATGATATATTTGATTTATTATATGTATATGCCGTCATTGTGAAAATCATGGTTTTAGC